CTATGCACGCCTCATACCGCTCATACGCCCGCCAATTGGGACGCCATCGGCCCAAGGGATAGGCTGGGTGGTGGGGGCCAATTGCGGATGAGGGGGAGGGGTGTGGAAGGACACGAACTCGCATGTGTGGCCGAAGGAAAGACTAACAAGACAAAGAAATAGGGGGAGAGAGAGAGAGAGAGGGGGTAGAGATGCTGAGAAAGAGTGTATGAGAGAGACAGAGGAGAGGAGAGGGAGAGGGAGAGTTGAGACGGAGAGAGCGGAGGGAAGAGAGAGAGATGAGAGCGAGCAGAGGAGAAAAGAGAGAGCAGAGAGAGAGAGACAGAGGAGAGGGAGATGGAGGAGGGAGAGGGAGAGGCCGAGAGAGTGAGAGTGAGGAGAGACGAGAACGAGAGAGAGAGAGGGCCTGAGAGAGAGAGAGAGAGGGCAGAGAGAGAGAGAGCTCCCCCTCCGATTCTGAGCTACTCTGTACAGAGAGAGAGAGAGAGAGAGAGAGAGAGCTTGCCCGAGAAGGAGACTACAATTATGCAAAACTCTCTGTCTCTGTTAAATATTATTATGCAAAGTTATGACGATGGATTTCTTACTGGAATCATCGCGTCAACTATGCAGCAAACAATGTGCCAATTCCACAATAACCACAAACTGGTTATTTCCGCATGAATGAACCACAGCATGAATGAACCGTGCTCCAATGTCAAGACTTCATATAGTTCGTGTAGTCTGTTTTTTGTTTTTCCCACTGTGTGTGTACTACCAGTAGCTCAAATCTACTACGTGCGCGCACTATTCGTTGCCTGATCGTTGTTTGAATTACCGAATAGTGCAATAGTATTTGTAAATGATTTTGAGCATAGAAAACCTGCTTTTAACAAATTATATTAATATGCCGCATTATATAAGTTGGTGTGATAATAATAAAAATTAAGTAATATTATTTGATTTGATACACATCTCCTTGGCTCATTATTCTCTATGGTACTGGTGCCTATGCTATATCTAAACTAGCTTGTTTTTTTGAGACGTTCAGACGAGAAAGCACATGTGTACATTTGAAATCATATCATCGCGCCACAAGTCATCACATCATCATCTATCATCATCTACAACATTATCATCATCATCATCATCATCCCCAAGCCAGACACCACGCGCTGACCACCACGCGCTGACGGGAGGTAGTGACATCCAATCAGCCGAGGCGAGGGAGGGGGGGGGTGGCGTATGCGAGAAGTCGGAGGTGCACATCCTCACCACACGCGCGCGGGAGATGTGCGCAGCCTACCTTGAGCAGGAGCGGTGTACTGAGGGGCTTTACTTTGTTCAGCTATCATAGACAACTCTCACCACAGCCTCCATCACCGCTATCCTTACCATCGCACCGATCACTGACACCCGCGGGAGGAGGGCCCGCACGCACACGTCATCAACGGCAATCTCTTACACAGCCTTCCATCACCGCTATCGCTTTACCATCGACCGATCGTGACACCCGCGGGAGGGAGGGCGCACGCACACGTCATTCATGACAACAACTCTCACCACAGCCCTCCAATCACCGCTATCCTTTACCAATCGACGATTCCTGACACCCGCGGGGAGAGGGCCGGGCACGCACACGTCATCACGAAACTCGTACACCCAGCCTCCATCACCGCTATCCTTACAGTCGACGCATCACTGACACCCGCGGGAGGCGCGCAGCACACGTCGATCACGACAACTTCTCACCACAGCCTCGATCACCGCCTATCCTTTACCATCGACCGATCACAAACTGACACCCGCGGGAGGGAGGGCCGCACGCACACGTCATCACGACAACTTCACCACGGCTCCATCACTGCTATCCTTACAATCGTACCGATCACTGACACCCGCGCGAGGGAGGGCCCGCCACGCACACGTCATCATGACAACTCTCACCCACAGCGCTCCATCACCGCTTATCCTTACATCAAAACCCATCCACTGACACCCGCGGGTAGGGAGGGCGCACGCACACCGTCATCATACAACTCTCACGCACAGCCTCATCACCGCGTATCCTTACCCATCGACGATCACTGACACCCGCATGGAGGGAGAGGCCGCACGCAACCGTCATTTGCATGACACTCTCACCACGCCTCCATCACCGCCTATCCTTACCATCGACCGATCACTGACACCCGCGGAGGGCCGCCACGCACACGTTCATTCACGACAACTTCTCACCACGCCTCCATCACCGCTATCCTTACATCGGACCGATCACTGACACCCGCGGGAGGCAAGAGGCGACCGCGCAACGCATCCGCACGGGTGTCATCACGACAACTCTCACCACAGCCTCCATCACCGCTATCCTTACCATCGACCGATCACTGACACCCGCGGGAGGGAGGGCCGCACGCACACGTCATCACGACAACTCTTACCACAGCCTCCATCACCGCTATCCTTACCATCGACCGATTCACGACACCCCGGGAGGGGAAGGCCGGCACGCACACGTCATCATGGACAACTCCACCACCGGCCTGCCATCACCGCTTATCCTTACCAGTGAACCGATCCACTGAAGCACCGCGCGAGGGCAGGAGGCCGCACGCAGCACGTCATCATGACAACTTCTAAGCCACCAGCCTTTCCATCACCGGCTATCCTTACCATCGACCGATCCACTGACACCGCGGGAGGGTCCGCACGCACACGTCATCACGACAAACTCTCACCACGGCCTCCATCACCGCATATCCTTACCATCAACCGATCACTGACACCCGCAGCGGAGGAAGGCCCACGCACAGCGTATCAGCGACAACTCTCACCACAGCCTCCCATCACCGCTATCCTTACCATCGAACGCGATCCTGACACCGCGGGATGGGAGGGCCGCACGCACACGTCATCATGACAACTTCTTACAGCGGCCTCCATCACGCTATCCCTTACCATCAACGATCACTGACACCCGCTGGCGAGGAGGGCCGCACGCACACGTCATCACGGCAACAGTTTCAAAATGTTTAGCGTATATAAATCGTCGAATCGATCACGATTTATCTTGAGAACCGTTCGACGGGTAGAAGCATGCACGCGAGCTTCGTATGTTTAGTATATTTCGGCGTAAACGTGGCACGCACATGCCGCTGCGAGACGTCGACAGCGTAAACAATCCACGATCGAGGATCAGCACTCGACGATACATCCCGGGTTTCACTCACGCGAAGTAAGATACGCCGCGTGTGTTAAGGAAACCTTTCAGTGCTTGTCGAAACCATCGGAATGTTGTGTGCTTGTGAAAAAACTAGCTACGCCTCGCAGTCAGCTTGCGTGATCGCATCCCACGGAGCAGTGGTAGCCCTGAGTGGCTACACCGCTTCCCCACGATGTGGGAACCCCCATTGCACTGTAACCCCACCTGGTGGGCAAAAAGTTAAACCTAAACGAAGAAAGTGCCGTCATTAGTGAACAGCGGCTCAATCTAACGTCTACTGCGGTGACTCTGTGGTGGAGTCGGTGCGGATCATAGTAAACCTGCTCTAGTCCAAATGTGTTAAATACACGCCGAACAGCTTGGAATGCAGGGATGGTATCAGACTTCTCAAAGAATGCTCTGTCTGGGACTGTTATGAAAGTTGCAACGAGATGGCGCGCCGTACGTTTAAGTGTTTTCAGATTAAGTGGCAAGCTCCCAATCATATTACGTAGTAGCAACAACTATCTTGCAAGACAGAATGGTAGCACTCATCGCATTTACCTACGCAGATCCTACAGGCTGCCGCAAATAGAGAGCTGCCACCTGTAAACAATTAATGGCGAAAAACTCCAGCTTTCCACCAACACATCAACTCGGCGAGTAGCCACTGGCGGTGGCATACGTTACGATGCTAACATACTGATAGCTACAAGAATTGCCATATAAATTATACGATTTAGGAGCATAAACCTTCTTTATACCAGAATTTAGCTTTTGAAATTTCACTGTGACATTATGTACGCCTCATACATCCAGGCATGTATAGATTCTACTAGCAACCCAGCAGTCAAATTTTTCTAACCAGACAGTCAACAGAATCCATTGTGTAACCCTCCTCTGAGGGTCAAAAGTTCTCCGACACTTACTCTTGCCGAGTGTCAGCAGAAGGGACATTTCATGTGTCCTTTCAATAAGCCCATAAATAAGCTAGGTCCACCGCTGAAACAAAAAAGTTTTTCGAATCCCTCCGTCAGACCATGTTCCTCAGACAATGTCTAAAAATCTGGCCCGCTTGCCATTGCACCTTTGACCTGCTTTGACTTCCAATTTCGCCACAGTGATGGCCTTTTTCCTACCATGATCGCTATACACCGCACTTATCAGCAAAGCCTAGGTCGAGCCGTTTTAGGATTTGCGCCGCACATTCTGCATTTCCTCCCCATTACCTTAAGTAAGCAGTGATGTTCCCGCTTATTTTACACCTCTTGACCTGTTGACCTTTGACCCCAGCCTTCGACATCCCAACTCCGCTTTCTCGGATCTACCCCCCCCACGCTCCCGCAATATCGTGACGTACGTCGAGCCGGTTAAGACTTTGTGCCCAACTCCGTTGACGGCTACGGTAGACGCTCGCACGGACGGACAGACGCTCGACGGTCCACGGCACGCCCCGACGATCATGCGATTCTACAAGCTTGCCATCTGACTATGTTAGATCGAGCTAAAGGGGATGGGGACATTGCAGTGCACACATAGTTTGGCCCAGAACCCCGCCCCCACCGATGATTTCCAGGGTTTGCATGCACCTGTTTTAACCGTCAGACCACAGTTTACCCTGCTTTATTTGACAATGCTTTGCCTTCACACACATACGGATCAAAGGCTTTTTGCGGGTAAGGTCCGATGGGAATTACGCATACGGTACTCACAATACATGTAAATGCCAGAGCCTACTCAATTAATATTACCGATGAATCTCTATCGATTACTTGGAATGCGATTGGCTTTAGATTCGAGGGTTACGACACATGCTTACCCTTTTCGTTGCTTGAAGCTGAGAAACACATCAAAGGCATATATGAACGTCCACAGGTAGGTGGACATGTAGAAAAAATGAATCCATGCCTACAAAAGAAGAAACGAGGTGGTAATAAACTCGCCGGCAGACGGTTAAAGCGAACGATTCGTGACGCAGTTCCCGCGATGTCATCTCCGGTGCACACGATCTATCAGCAATCCAACCCAGACGTCGTCTGGAAGCTTCTGAACACTGATCCATGCACGCACACATGCAAACACGCACGCACGCACACATGCACGCACGCACGCACGCACACCCACACACTTTAACAGTCCCTCGTTTTCCATAAAGAAAGTGACAAAGAAACTTTCTTTTGGAAGATAACGAATCATGACAAAGTGTTTTTTCGCCAGCCTACCGCTACGCACTACAGCTAAACACACACACACACACATACACACCGGGTACACGCCCGCCTCAGAACTCTGACCCAGTGCTGACCCCCCACAATCACCGAGACGTCCCTGGGTAGCAGCGTTGGCCGACGGTGGCGCCACCGCTGTCTCGCACTCACCGACACGATCGCGCAGAACACGTCTCCGTCGGGGAAGACCATGGTTCCTTGGAGGAGGCCGTCGCTCGGGGCGAGGGAGGGGGAGCCGGTGTCCGGCATGGTCAGCCACGCCACCGACCGCATCAGAATACCTGCGACGAAAACGAACACGCGTGCAGATAGGTCCGACCCTATATATAAGGGTCAGGGGGGGGGGAACGTGTCCTTCGTAGCCAGGTGTCCGTTCCGGGAGGTGATTGCCACCAAATGGCAATATTTTGCCACGCTTACCGAATGCAGTGTACAGATTGGTTGCGGCCACCAGGGGGCACTTTCCGGATGCTGCGAGTAGGTCAGCGACGGCCAGCAGGGGGCGCTTACCGAATGCTGCTAGTAGGTCAGCGACGGCCAGCAGGGGGCGCTTACCGAATGCTGCGAGTAGGTCGGCGACGGCCAGCCAGTGAACGATGCTGAGTTCGTGTGCGTTCGGGTTCGCTTCCTTCCTAGCCTTCGCGATCTCGGATTCGTAACGCGGCCACACCTGCGGGAGGAAAACGCCGTCGCCGTGGGTTACGCGCCGTCCGTCGATCCGCCGCACCATCGCACGCGCTGTCGTTCAACACGCTCGAATATTCATTTTCTCTAAGACAAGGGGAGTTACGCCGCTACGCCTGAGGGAGGAAATGTTATAGAACATCCGTACATACAGCTTCATCCGCTGAGGGTGTCAAATCCAAATAATTTTTAGGGCAAGGCCATCATTGCTTTGTGTTTAATCAGGAATTTTAGGGGCATTGCGGCAAGTTTTTATACGTTTTTTTAAAAAGGTTTAGTTTTAGGGTGCGCTGCCAGACTGCCTGGCTATACTGCCTAGCTAGACTGCTGACTGAGCCGCCCTGTTAGGCTGCTGACTAAGCTGCCCTGTTAGGTTGCCTCCCCCCCCACCCACAAGGACATGTGCGACGCCCGCCCTCTCTGGTGCTTACCTGGAACAGCGCTCCTGCGATGCTGATGGTGGATGAGACAATGCAGACGATGTTGTACCAGTCGCGCACCATGAGCGGGTCGTGTATCGGAGACACGTACGAGATGTTGCTCGAATAGCTGCAGCAAAACGACTCCATCATCGGCGACGACATCGCTACGACGACGACGGCGGCGGCGGGCGACCGCGCACGCAGGAACGACCACTCTAGGGGAGGGGGAAGTCCGTATTAACGACCAATTAAAATAAACAAAAAACAAAAACGTGTCGACCCGGGGCGTGATTAAATATCATTATGCTTTAATGATACTTGATAGTAGCTATAGTAATAGTATTATTAGTTATTTATACTTTATAAATTATAGTTTATTACTAATACTATTACTATTAGTATTACTATTAGTATTACTATTACTATTAGTATTTTAGTATTCATCAATCATCATAACCTACAGTCAGTTAGTGAATATAAACTCAATTTATTTGGGTGATTCAAACCCAAAAAGCCGTAACGCCTAATGTGACACGATATTCACCTGCTTACGGCACGAAGTCTCAAAAACGATATCAATTAACTAGTGATAATCATTAATCACTAGCAAGGATAATTCATAAACACAGCCACTGAACTCTGTCATGCTCCATACTTGTTTACTTACGACGCGACTGTTGTTGTATTGGACCGTGCTGCCACGTTGTGAGCAAATAACGCACTATTTCCGTATGCTTGTCTAGACTTATTTTAGGGATATATATTTATGTCTGAGAACAATACATAGACTGCTATACGTATAGATTGTTACATGTTTCTTATGTATTTTTTAGCTTTAAACAAAAATCTAGGTAGTCAGCTTGCACCACCCGACGCAGAGCCTTGTTTCCTGTAGAAGCTATGGATGCCTAGGCAGGTCTCTAATTGTATCACAGTGTGTGAGTGTGTGTCTGTGTGTGTGTGCAGGGGCGGCGCCACAGGGGGGGGGGGCGGTCGCCCCCTATCATTTGCAAGAAAAAGAAAAGAAGAAGAAGAAAAATAAAAAGAAAAAAAAAAAGAAGAAGAAAAAGAAAAAGAAACATCTTGCAAATGTCTTGCAAATGATGGGTGGGGTGGGGGGTCACCGCTCCCCTATCATTTGCAAGAAAAGGTAAAGAAGAAGAAGATTCTTGCAAATAATAGGGGCGGGCAGCAATCGCCCAAAAATGAGTGATGTAGCCTACAAGCCTGGACCCTTTCATCGAAATAATCGAAAAATTAAGTGTCGAAATTCAATCCGATATAAAAACCTGTGCTTAATTTGATATCGATGCTCAGGTCGCTTTTTCCTTGGGAGTCCCAATAAAGGTTACCCATTCAAGGGTCCCCGTACAAGTGTACCATTCATTTGTCGATGATTGCTGATTTCCCGGCGGCGAAAGGTAGGCACACTTCGAGTGGCTTTAACAACGTTATAAAATTATAATTACAACGTATCAGACTGCCTCTAATAATTTACTCTTACATGCTATCTTATTTGTACCTTCGCCCGGCAGTGGAGGGGAGGTTATCGTGGATCGGCGTTCTGTGCGCTTCGTGTACAACGTTTAGCGCGCGCACGCGCCCTGTGTGTGGTGTGTCCCTGGTGTGTGTGTGTGGTGTGCTCGTGTGTGTGTCGGTGTTGGTGTGTGTGTATGTGTGTGTGTGTGTGTGTGTGCTGTGCTTGTCGTGTTGTGACGCGATCGCGATATCTAGCGCGCTCAGCGAGCGAGCCAGCCACAGCCGCGCTGCTGTCTGCCTGAGCGGCGAGCGAGCAATACATGTTACGCTGGTGATTTGTGGGTTATTCGTCCGTGTCGTGAGTCGTATGGCGTAATGTCGCTGGCGGAGGTATGCTCGTCTCGGTGGTGCCCTCTGTCTCAGTCTTCTAGCTTAGCGTGTGGTATGCGCACGCGTGCGTTGCGCTGTGCGATGCGCTTTCATCTCTCTCCGGGCTCATGTCTCTTCCTTTCTCCTCTACATAATACAACAATGGCGTTAAGTGTACAGCATAGATTGTAAAAGCAAATTCACTGTTCCCCCCAGCTTCGGAGACCCCCATTTACGAACATAGCCGGCTTCAGACGCTATCATACATTCAACAAACATTAAGTTCCAGCAGACCGACCATTTTCAGGTCTGGAGTTTGTTCCAGAGGCCCCCCCATTCATTTAAGCTTCCCGCAGTGCACATACCAGTTATACCTACCATACATTGGGGTGAGTCCCCCCCCCCGGGGTTTCATCTCCTTCGGTATATGTATGCTCATTGGCTTCCCTGCCACAATTTTTCTGTTGTCAAGCAATTGATTGGCTTGATTAGCTAAACTCTGAGAGCTTCCCCGGAACCCCTGCCGGGTCTGTCCCTGGACCCCGCGCCAGCGGCACTAAGGCGGGCCCCTGGGGCCCAAATTCAACACACGTTGCGCAAAGGTGTATTTGCGTACACAGAGTTCTACGAAGTACAGTACGCCCCGACGTACGCAAATGCCGTAGCGTGCGATTCATCAACGCCAGCGTCAGCACCTGCTGTACGCAAAATGTTATGAATTCCCGCCGTGTAATCCACTACGCCATCGCTAAGCCTGCCTCGGCCTGTTGGAGGGGCGGTGCATTAGCATAAACAATCACACTGTCGACACATACCATATAGGAACCAAACCTCGACGCCTCTCTTGTGTATGTAACACCATATGGCTCTAGCTGTCTACAGGAGTGCTGGCGGGGATTGATAGTTGTCCTCATTTTCGTTTTGTATGATTGTGTCGTTCAATACTCGATGAAAGCAGCGACACGTACGCGTGCGTGCGACGCGTGCGTGTGTGTTGCACATTACACGTGCGTGCGTCGTTGCCGTACACGTGCGGGCGTTGTCGTACGTACACGGGGCTGTGCGTGCGGTGTGTACGATACACGTGCGCAGTGCTTGTGTGCACGTACAAATCTGCGCTGCGTGCTTGTGCTGCACGTACAAGTGGCGTGCGTGTGCCACGTACAGCGGTAACTACTGAACTTCGTATAACGAAAACAATGGCCAGCTTATTGACAAAGAAGCGTCAAGGCGCCGCCCTGTCTGTGTAGTATGGTAATATTTATTTTTTTTAGTTTGAGTTAGTAATTTTATAACTGTCTTTCTCAATTAAAATATGCATGCTGCGGATTATGCTGGAAACACCTGCGGAAATCTTCGAGTGCTGTTTACGGCACCTCGTCAGCTCGTATAAAGTTACGCAAAGTTTACGTAATTTTAGCTTGCTTGATGACGCCACCTAAAACGCCCACTTGCGTACGCGAATTTACGAAATATTACTAAATAAGCTGCTGTTGATGAATCGCAACTAAGCAACGTCGATTGCGTACACAAGATGTACGCAAAATATTTTGCGTACGCCAGTTGATGAAATCATGAATCTACCCCATGACCCCACCGTCAGTGCAAGGCGAACACGGTATTCAGAGTCTACATTCCCAGGCGGCGTTGTACAGGGGGTCCAGGCGGGTCCGAACCCCGCCTACTCGCGCGAGAATACGCATTCTGAGGTGTGGTCTAATTTAACAAAATTTCTGGGGAGAGCCCCAGACCCCCCCCTTCGCGTGCTCCTCTACACGCCCTGGTTTCGCCCCCCCTAAGAAAATGCCCTAGCGCCGCCCCTGTGTGTGTGTACGTCTGTTGTGTGTGTGGGTCGTGTGTGGGTGTGTGGTGTTGTTTGTTGTGTGTTGTGGTTTGTGTGTGTGTGTGTTTGTGTTCGTATGATTGTGGTGTGGGTGTGTGTGCTGTGTGTGTTGTGTGTTGTGTGTGTGTGTATGTGTAGAATGTGTGGGTGTAGTGTGGTTGTGTGTGCTTGGTGTGTGTGTCGTGTGTGTGTTCGCCGCGGTGCGAATAGCAAGCCAACTGTGTTCTTGTTCGCCCGCCGACGGGTGCGGAATAGCAGAAATTGTGTCCTTATTCGCACGTGTTATTCCACTTCGACACTTATCGCACTTATTCGTCTATTACGCAAGATAATATTCTTCGGTCCGTTCTTATACGTTTTCAAATGGAGCCGGGCAGTGCTGACCAGCGACTGTGACATGGGAAATTCTTATCTACTGCTTCACGGCTAATCTACTCATTGGGGGTGGCAGACTTAAGATGACTAAGTGTCCTTTCGACCACATCCCGTGCTTAAACTTGATTAAAATTTGTACTTGTACATGTAATTATTTCTTTTATAACGATGTTACTCTGTGATTTATGTATGTATCTTATGCCACAAATAAAACTTTTTCCAATCTTCATCTTCAATCTTCACTTCGCTAGCAGCATCCGCACGATTCGTGTTGTATTGTGGGTGTGGGTTGTGACTGTTGTGTGCTGTGTGTGTGTGTGCTGTGTGTGTGGTGTGTGTTTGTGTGTGTGTATGTGTCCGGTCGTGATGTGTGTGTGTGTGTGTGTGTGGTGTTTGTGTGTGTGTAATGTGGCCGTGGAATGTGTGTTGGTATGTGTGAGAATATGTGTGCTGTTGTGTGTGTGTGTGTGTGTGATGTGTGTGGTTGTGCGAGTGTTGTGTGCTTTGTGTGCTGTGTGGTGCCCAGCGGCTGCGAATAGCAAGCAAACGTGTCCTTGTTGCGCACCGCCCGTCCGGTGCGAATAAGCAGCAATGTGTCTTATTCGCCTTATTTCGCATTCGCACTTATTGCTGTCGCATCCATATTACTTATTCGTCCTTATTAGTCAAAGTAATATTCTTTCGGCCGTTTCTTATACGTTCAAAGTTTGAGCCGGACAGGTCTGACAGCACTAGGTGTGACATGTACAATCTTATCTACATGCTACGTCTTAATCTACTCTTGGGGGTGGCAGACTAGATGACTTAAGTGTCCTTCGCCACTCCCGCTGCTTAAATGATTAAATTGTACTTCTACATGTAATTATTTCTTCTTATACGATGTACTCTGTATTTCATGTATGTCTTGATGCCCAAAATTAAACTGTTTTCAAATCTTTCAATCTTCAATTTCACTTCGCTAGCAGCATCCCGCTCAGATCATATGTGGGTATGTGGGCCTGTTGGTGTATGTGTATGTGTGGTGTGTTGTGTCTGTGTGTGTGTGTGTGGTGTGTGTGTGTGTTGTGTGTGTATGTCCGTCCTGTGTGGTGGTGCGTTGTGTGCAGTGTGTGTGTGCGTGGGGGTCGTGCGCTGTGTCGTGTGTCTGATGTTGTGTGTGATGTGTAGTGTCCGTGTTGCGGGTTGTTGTGTGTTGTTGTGTGTGTGTGTGTGTGTGTTGTGGTGTTGTGTGGTTGTGTTTTGTGTGGTGTGTATGTGTCGTTTTCGGTGTTGTGCTGTGCGTATGGTGTGAGATATATGTGTGTGTGTGTTGCTGTCCTGTGTGCGCCGCGGTGCGAATAGCAAGCAATGTGTCCTTGTTCGCACGCGACGGCTGCGAATAGCCGGAATGTGTCCTTAATTCGCCACGTATTCGCAGTTCGCACTTATTCGCACTATTCGTCCTCATTTCGCAAGATAATATTCTTTGGCCGTTCTTATACGTTCAAAGTGAGCGGGCAGGTGACAGCACGTGGTGCATGCGTACAATCTTATCTGACATTGCTTTACGTTTAGATCTCT